CTGCCATGGGGCCGCCGCCGCCGCCGCCGCCGGCCCTCCTGCTCCTGCTCCTGCTCCTGCTCCTGCTCCTGCCGCTCGGACCCGCCGCGGTGAGTGCACACGGGCGTGCACACGCGCACACCCTGGAAACAGAACCGAGCGATTGTTTGCACCAAGGAAGTGTGTGCGCGCGCGTGTCCGGGTGTGCATGTGCATGTGCATGTGTGTGTGTGCGCGCGCGCGCGCACAGACACGGGCAAGATGCGGGGTCCGAGTGTGCGCTGACGGATGTGGGTGCCTCGCCCGGCGGCACTGCCGCAGAGGAGAGCGGGACGCGGCCGTGTGCGTGTGCGTGTGCGCGTGCGAGACGGGGAGCGCCAGGCGAGGGTGCAAGCCGCTCACGTCCCCATCCATTCTGTGCAGTCCGTTCCTGTCGGGATGAATGCGGACCACATTGCCCCGCTCCGGCATGAGCATTTTTTGGTGCAGCCGGGCTCTGTAATTAGGCGGTCAGAGCCTATGAAAGCTGCATTTATCCTCCTGGTTGCTGGGGAGGTCATTAACGTCGGACGGCTCCTTTCTCTCTTCTTATTAGGGGGATTTGTGCTCGTGGCAGAGGTGGGGACCAGGCAGCCCAGGACGGGAAGCCCGAGGGCGCTGATGAAGGCGGGTGCCCGGCCCCGGGATGTGATTTCCAGGCGGCTTGAAGGAGCCTGGCAGGGGAGCGGGAGCGTTTCTGCGTCGCGGAGGCTGGTTTCCGAAGGGGGCTCATGTAGACGGAGGGGAAAGGGTGTGAAGTCGGGGTTGTGGACTTGGCCTTTTAACTTGTCCTCTCTAGACCCCGCTGGTCTTCCAAGCCCAGCTCCTTTCTCCCCGGCTCCCCGGGCCGTGTACATGCGGGCAGAGGGAGTCGTGGGCCGTGTGCTTCCAACTTCGGGTCCCGATTCTGTGCAGCTCCAAATGCGGCGCAGGCTCCGGCGTGCAAGCTGGCCCCACGTCCCACTAAAGGCGGTCGGAAGACGCCCCCTCCCCTGTTGCCGTCGAAGGGGGCTCAGGTCGGATCGGGAATCAGGTAGGCTCAGCTCGTCCTAAGGGCCGCCGTGGCATGTCCTGCCGGGAGCTGAGCGGTCTCTGGGCCCGAGCCAGCTGGTAAGGAGAGACGGTCCCCTGCTTGAGACTCTCCAGGTGGCCCCGGGTTTGGAGCGCAGGAGAGGGGGTTTAGGATCCTGTGCCTTCGTGCTACGCTCCCAGGACTGTTTTGGCAAAAGCTCTTTGCCTTATCTCCTGACTTTCTGCAAACAAAGAGCTGATGTGGGCGGAGGGCTGCTTTCCTCCTGCTGCTGCTATTTTGGGAGAGCTCTTCAGGGTGCAGGCGTGGGGGCCTGCACTCGGAGGCTCTTGGATACTTGCTGCCCGGGACGTGGGAGCTCGGGGACTTTCTGGGCATGGCTGTCCCACTGGCTAGCGTGGGAGGGCAGTGGGGCGTATGCAGCCAGTGGGGAAGGGGCCGGCCTCAGGGCTGCTCCGGCTGTCCGAGACGCATCCAGCGGGAAGGGATCTCCAGAGGTCATCGGGATCATCCCTATCCAAACCATCCGTCCAGAGGAAGACGTTCCCTCCTGCAAGGAAGCCACCCGCGGTCCAGAGCCCGGTGCTGTTCCCAGCAGAGTCAGGCCTTGCTGTGCTCCTGTCTAGCACCGGGTGGGGAGAAGGAAAGTTGGGGCCCGGCCCGTTGCACCAGGCGGTCCTCAGCCCTTGCACCCCGTAATCCGGATGCAGCCTGACGGCCTCCTGTAGACCGAGCAGCCAGGGCTGGAGCGGGAGCTGCCGGCCCCTGCTGGAAACCTGCCCCTGATTTAGGAGACTTGAAAATCTGGCCTTGATTGGAAGCGCCGAGTATGTGGAAGTCGTAGCCCGGGGCTTTCTCGAGCACAGATGCCCTGGTTGTTCCCGCCGAGCCCTGCGAGGCTTGCTGTGCCTACAAGCCCCCCGCCCCGCCCCGCGGCCGCCGCAGCCCTCGCCTGCCCTGCGCAGACACGCGAGCCGCCCGCCGCGGGCCAGGTTGTGTGAAGCGATGCAATGTCCGCGCCCGCGCGCGCGGTGCGTACACACACTCGAACAAAGCCCCGGCCAAAGAAACGCGGGGGTTGTTTCCAAGCGCCCAACAACACTGTCTCCCTTTCAGCAGAGATAATGATTTCCTGCCCCCGGCCGGCACGCGGACCCCGCACTTGTCAAAGCCTCGCTGTGCCGGATAAAGAGGAGATTTTCTTCTGGTTTGGCCTGTAATTTTTTTTTCGGAGGGTAAACGAAACCCGATCCTGGCAGTAGCCTGTAATTTGCTGGAGAGGCTGCCGTCTGATCCTAATGCAATTTCCTGCAGAGCATGTCAGCGTGCACACAGGCGCGCACGGCCGGCCCCCCGGGGCTGCAGGGGTCCCCCGCCACCCCGGACCCTTGGGGGGATGGCCAGCGGCAAGGTCCGGGGAGCAAAGTGCCACCCCATCCACAGCCCCACGAAATCCGGGGGCTTTCCGGCCAGCCTCCCCCTGGCCGGGGCCAAGCTGGCCATCCCGCAGGAGACCCGCGCGGCTGCGGGGCAGTCCTCTTCCCTTGGCCGGACCAGTGGGCCTAACACGACTTCAGGGACCTCTGCTCAGGACCCTGCTTTGACCCCTGTTTATTTACTGGTGACCCTCGTTCCTGTTCCTATCCCGTCATCTCTCATCTTGCCCTTGGCAGCACCCCTGCTAGGCTTTGTGGGGACGTGTGTGTCCTGGTGGGCTCAGACCACTGTCGTGGCACAACGTGTAGGCTTGTCTTTGACCCTGGGCGTCCCCAGGGGCGTCAAACGTGCAGGGCTTGCAGAGGAGGGGGTCATCTGGCCTGCGCTGGGGCAGCCTGGTTCATCCTTTCCGCTGCCGGCTTCCCTGGTGCCGGCGTGGACCTGAACGCTGGGCCCCAATGTAGGGCACTTTGCTTGAAATCCCGCAGGAGGAGAGAAGCAGCCCAGCGAGGCAAGGTGCTCATCACCTGCGGTGTTTGCACAGAGCCCTGCACTGGCCCCTGGACTGCAGCCACCTCTGGGGTGGGGGGGGCGTTGAGCAAGGGCGAAGCTTGGCTGCAGTGAAAGGAGCCTGTGGTGTCCTTGCTCTTCCCCAGAGCCGGCGGGAGATCTCTTCCCCAACTCCCTGCCCTGGAGCAGAGCTCATCTGGTCGGGGGTGGGAGGCTTTGATGGCAATGTGTGTAGACCCCCGTCTCCCCCTCCCGGCTCACTCCAGACCCGGCCGCTTAGCTTGAGCAGCTCCCGTGGCTTCATTGATATCCGACCCCCAGCTTGCCGAGGGGAAGCTTTCTGGGTAGGACCGCACCTCCCATTGCCTGTACAGCTCCGTGCACAACAGGACATCCAGCCCCAGGGCTGATGGTCTGAGTCGGTGCTTTAGGCACATTCAAAGGGAGGACCGTGCCGCCCTGGAGAGGAATGGATGATACTTAGCCCCTTTCACGGCCAGCTCGATACGCCCAGATCCGCCTGTGAGCCGGGAACGGCCGGCTCCTGTTTCAGGGGTGGGCAAGCCCGGGCGCAGGGGTTTGACCAAGTCCGGTGGCCTGGCTCTCTCCCCTGGCCACACTCCCACATCATGAGCTAATGCGACTCCTTCGCCCTGCGGACAGGGCCGTGCGAGCTGCTCTCGGCGTCCAGGAACCACAGGCAGATTCAGGTCCTGCTGAGCAGACTCCTTTCGAATCCCAGCCATGCCCCGAAGAGAAGAGCACCACGGGGTTGGGGAAGGACGCGGAGGAGTGACTTGCCTTGGGCCGCCCAGCCAGGCATTAGCGGAGAGAGGAACAGCGCCCCGTCTCTCTCCGGATGCGTGCTCTATCCACCGGCCAGCCCCTCCGATGTCTCTGACTGTCCCCTCCTGCCGGCTGCTCGTCTCTGCAAGGCCGTCCAGGCCATCTGGGGCCTTGTCCTTGCTCCCGGACCCGCGGGAAAGGGGTCCGTTTGCTGTGCTCCCGCTCGGGTTGCAAGCGGCAAAATGGAGCCCGGCTCTTGAGGCCTTCCAGGGAAGACATCTCGATAATGTCAAGGCCTTGCCAGTTGGTTTTTCCAAATCCTAGACTCGAGGGGAGCCGTAGGGAGCTTTAATCTCTCTCCAGCCCCCTGAGAGACCGTCCGCTGCCTCTCCCCACAGCTGTTCTCTTCTGTGGAGGCTCTTAATCCTCCTCCCCGTTGTAAGGGCCCTAACAATCGCATGAGGCTCCTTCTGTCCCCACAGCTGCCGGGATGTGAAAGACCTGCTTGAAATGTCAGGGAGAGGCGGAAGAGCAGGGGGCTGCTGGGCGGGGGACGGCCAGGTCCCTTCTCGGGTGGGAACAGAGGGAAGGGAGCTGTGCAATGGGCACAGGGCACGGCCAGGTCCCTTCTTGGGTGGGAACAGAGGGAAGGGAGCTGTGCAATGGGCACAGGGCACGGCCAGGTCCCTTCTTGGGTGGGAACAGAGGGAAGGGAGCTGTGCAATGGGCACAGGGCACGGCCAGGTCCCTTCTTGGGTGGGAACAGAGGGAAGGGAGCTGTGCAATGGGCACAGGGCACGGCCAGGTCCCTTCTTGGGTGGGAACAGAGGGAAGGGAGCTGTGCAATGGGCACAGGGCACGGCCAGGTCCCTTCTTGGGTGGGAACAGAGGGAAGGGAGCTGTGCAATGGGCACAGGGCACGGCCAGGTCCCTTCTTGGGTGGGAACAGAGGGAAGGGAGCTGTGCAATGGGCACAGGGCACGGCCAGGTCCCTTCTTGGGTGGGAACAGAGGGAAGGGAGCTGTGCAATGGGCACAGGGCACGGCCAGGTCCCTTCTTGGGTGGGAACAGAGGGAAGGGAGCTGTGCAATGGGCACAGGGCACGGCCAGGTCCCTTCTTGGGTGGGAACAGAGGGAAGGGAGCTGTGCAATGGGCACAGGGCACGGCCAGGTCCCTTCTTGGGTGGGAACAGAGGGAAGGGAGCTGTGCAATGGGCGCAGGGCATGGCTGGGTCCCTTCTCGGGTGGGAACAGAGGGAAGGGAGCTGTGCAATGGGCACAGGGCACGGCTGGGTCCCTTCTCGGGTG